TTTTTTGTATACAGAATGACATGATTTGTTAAACAATTTTTCGATAATTTTTTATAAATTTAAAATTGTAAAACAAAAAAGGTTGAGGAAAAGAAGACACATTTCTTGTTTTGTCTTCCTTTCACGATTTAAATGTAAAAACAAATTTCATTCCCAATGTATTATTTACTATTTTAAAAGTTAAATCAATTTTATGGCTTAAATTTGATCGTATCCGGAAAAATCAATAAAATGATTGAATTGTTATGCTTATTTTAAAGCTTACTTTGTGTCGTCTTATTTCTTCCTGAAAAATGCAATGATTTTTGACTTTTTACTTTCTATTTTGATGTTAAAATCAAGAAAGAAAAAAAAAATTTTTTTTTTTTTTTTTGAAATTGCTTTCTTCTTCCGTTTCCTTTCTCTCTGTTGTTTGATTTATACACGCATAACAAGCCAAAAAATTTGCTATGGCATACAAACATTTCCTGAAAAAAAAAAAGAAATATTTTCTAATTTAAAATTTTTTCCAAAAAAAAAAAAGGCGCTATACTCAATCACAAAATATTGAATGGAAAAGGAAAAAAAAAAGAAAGGATAAAAATGATTTGCAAACAAATAAAGCTTTAATGTTAACGATTGTAACATTAAAAAAGTAACTTTACAAAATGATTGTATGAAATATTATTGCATTATTGCATGCATGCATGCATGCATGCAGCATATGATGATGTGTGATAAGTTGAAAATGGCAATGTATTTAGGTATATTCTCTAAAATATACATCATCATTGGAGAGATTTAAAAAAAGAAAAAAAAAAAAGGAAAAGCAATAATTGAGGAAATATTTTTCATCGATAAAAAAAAAAAATGAAGCATGAAGAATTGTTTTATACTTCTGCTCTTCTCTTTTACAAATCAATGATGACACTTAAATGAAAAATTTCAATTGCATATGAAAATAATTTGAAATAATTATTTGAATGATGAAATAAATAATAAAAATTATTACGGTTAATTTTATAATTAAAACATTTTGATTGAAAGAGTAAGAGAGTAAGAAAGAGAGAGAGAGAGAGGAAAAGAGAGAGAGAGAGAGAGGAAGGGGGAAAGAGAGAGGGAAAGAAAAGAGTGGAGAAAAGAAGAATGAAATTTTGTTCATCATTCATCTTCTGTACAAGTCTTTTTTTTTCTAACGAACAACAACAAAGCAGTATTTTAAAAATGATACGGTCATTGCAATCGGAAATAATTTAGGTGATAATGTTGTTAACTGTATCATTTCATTTTTTCTTAACTGATAAACATCAAATTTGTTTTGCTAAAATTCATTCGATGATTACAGTTTTTGTTAATAATAATAATAATAAAATTAAACAAACACTAAACTACGATCATTGATGAGTAAATGAATTCAATCGAATTTTGTGTGTGTGTGTGTGTGTGTGTGTGTGTGTGTGTGTGTGTGTGTGTGTGTGTGTGTGATAGACGAAGAAATAAATAATTATGCAAAAATAGTCGATGATTTGCTCGGTTCACTGATTTCATAGGCATGTAAACAAAAGCAATTTGAAAAGAAATAAAATTTTCAGTCAACAACAAATCGTTAAACTGCTAAAACTGTATTTTTTGTTTTTTCAAAAATTCAAAAGAAAAAAAAAATGTCATAAATTGAAGTATTCAAGAACAAAAATGTCATAAGTTGAAATATTCAAAAAAAAAAAAACCAAATTTTCTCTCACTATCGAAATCATATAATTCACTTCTTAATACTCAAATCTACCGGGAATATATTTCAATATCTTTCCTTCTTTCTTTTTTTTTTTCTTTCTTTCTTCCGTTTTTTTTTCCAGTTGATTTTAGAGCATCAATAAGAGCAGAGACTAAAAATGGCTGATGTAATGCTATTACACAAGTGAAGAAACAATTAAAGCTAAAGCATTGAGTCTCTCCCTCATTTGACGAGTAATGCAATCCCGACAATTGCATAGGAAGAAAAAGAGAAAAAATGGTAAATTTCATTTTCTTCAATCTCATGTCACTCATATATATACACATTATATATACATATGTGCATGTGTGTGTGTGTGTGTGTGTGTGTGTGTGTGTGTGTGTGTGTGTGTGTGTGTGTGTGTGTATTTGTGTAATTGGTAAAATAAGTTTTTTTGCTAAGAATATTCAAAAAAACTTTTAAACAATATTTTTATATAATACGCGTTCACATACACATACATATACACAACATACAAAAACAAATACACATAAACACACACACACACACACACACACACACACACA